AAAGTAGGCCCGGAGGCCAGGCCCTGAGGAGTAGAAAGTAGGCCCGGAGGCCAGGCCCTGAGGAGTAGAAAGTAGGCCCGGAGGCCAGGCCCTGAAGGTGAGCGCCAGGAGGACGGTGGCTCCTGAGCGCTTGGATGTGCCCCCTGCCGCGGTGATGACAGTGCATGGCTCTAATACTGTGACGGTATCGAGCGAAACGGCACTGGCTTCTCGTTCTTATCACTGTAATCAATTTTCCATTCTACTGCTCAGATGAAAAGAAAGCATTATAGCAGAAAGACTCAGAATTTTAGTTTGCTAGGAAAAGTAACTGTAAAATAGCCAGCTAAATTCTGCTCTGTCCAGCACTGGGGCCCCTTTGTGAAGAGCTAGGACCTTGCTTTCAAGCAAATGTCCTACATGGATCATTTCCTTGAGGAACAAAGCTGTAGTTGGCATGGTACTTGAGACCTCATGAAATCTATTTACACACAACACTAAATTCCAGGTTTGTTTAGACAGCACTACAACAGAAGTCAACTTTAAAGAGTGATGGATTTTAACATCTGTGCAGAACAAAAGACAACCACCAACACTACCAGCCCAACAGTGGATGAGGACCAGAGTCCCACTGAGTCAGGATGGCCGTCCCCACCTCTGCGGGCCCAGGCTTGATTGATGTCACATGCAAAGCTGCCTGCCTGTGCGGGCCAGCAGTCTCTCAGATGCCAGGACGTGATTTCTGGAGTGTACAGCTATGGGATTTAGGGAGGGGTGGAGCTGCCTCCTTCAGGTATGTGGGTATTTTGAGTTCAGGGCCTACAGCCAGGCTGGCGGACAGGTGCAGCTTCTTTCTCTTTGACAGAGTGAAGCAAGTCCCAATGCAGGGATGAGTGGATTTTGCAGAGAGAGAGGGAGAGAGCAAGAAGGAGAGAGGGGAAAGGGGAGGGGGAGGGAGAGGGGAGGGGAAGGGAGAGGAGGGAAGGGAGGAGGAGGGGAGGGAGAGGGGGAGAGATGGAGAG